GATGCCACGGACGGGGCTGCCCCGCACGTGGCCACTTCTGTTTCCCCCCCCATGGAGGGGGGATCTCGTCCCCGCGTTGAGCTCGTCGCTCTCGGAGATTTTAAGTCAGGACGCTCCAAGGGCAAATTCGAACCCTTGGATTCTCAGAGGTCTCAGCACCCCTCTGATTGTTTCAATTCGACAGCGCATTCGGTCAGCAATGTCAGCCTGCCTGTGCCTGCTCCTCTTGTCGGCAGCGAGCAGCCATCGGCCTCTAACTCTGACAGTATGGTGCCACTCACGATTCAGACCATTTAACGCCAACTCGTGGGGCACGTTGAAGGGTTTGCTTGAAGATTGTTCTGCCCACATTGTGCTCGGTCAGGAGCACCGTCTGATTTCCAAGGGGGACATCGAGCAGGCCAGTGCTTGGTGCATAAGGCATGGATGGAAGTCGGTTTGGGCCCCTGCTATCCCCACCCAAGCGCAGGACACGAGTGGAGGTGTTGCCATTTTCGTGCGCTCTTGGATGGGGCTTCTGGAAGTCGAGGGTGCCATCACGACGCCTGGGCGATGCATCGCGTGCTCTGCGCACCTCCCTGGGACTCCCCCCATCCTGGTTGCCTCTGCCTACCTTCACCACTGAGAAGGCCTCAGCGATGATAATATGTCTCTGCTCGCGAGGCTCGGTGAGCAACTTTCGGCTGTTGGCCAGCCGTGGGTGCTCGGTGCCGGCTTTAATCTGGAGCCTGCTGAGCTCGAGTCTTCCAGTTTTGTGTCTGAGTTGAGGGCTTCCCTCATCTTCCCCATTGTCGCGACGCACTATCCTGTGGGCCCTCCCACGACGTTCGACTACTTCGTTTGTTCGGGCGGTCTGGCGAAGGGCCTCAAGTCGGTCGATACGAGATTGGATACGGAGCTCTCCCCCCACAGGCCCGTCCAGTTGGTGTTCCACCCCCAGCTGGCGGTGCTTCACGCTCTCTCGTTCAGGAAGCCTCCCCCCCTGCCGTGTCAGGTGGTGTTTGGCCCTGCCCCCAGAGAAAGTCGTTGGGCTGGGGAACTTGCGCTGGCGTCCGAGGCTGAACGTTGTCTTCAGAATGGAGACGGTCAGGGGGCCAAACGTCTTCTGGGCCCTCTTTACAGGAAGTGGGCCGACCACGCTGAACGTGACCTCATTCCCCTGGTGGGTGTTCCCCCCCCCCAAGCTTGGCTCCAGGGGCCTGGGTCCTCAACTTGTGTGGAAACCTATCTTGGGCCAGGATGGTAAGGTGCGCTACCCTGGTCATCGCGCGATCCGTTGGCTCGGGCAACAGCTTCGCGCCTTCATGCACGCTCGGCGCGGAGGCGCTGCTGCCACTGCTGCCAGGCTCAGTTGCGTGTTGGTGGAGCCCCCGCCCAGCATCACGGCCGCGGTGGAAGACTACGAGCCGCTGTTCAAGCGAGCGGCTCAGGAGGTCTCCGCCCTTGGCTCTGGTGGGGATGTGGAGTCGCCCGCTGATCTGTACACTCAGGTTCACGAGGCCGTCAAGGCCGCCAGCTCCAAGCACGCCGCCAGGAGTCGATCAGACTGGGCTGCTTGGCTGCATGTTGGCATCAATCAAGGGGCTAAAAGGGTTCATCAGTGCATTAAAGATCCTGTTCCGTGGGTCCCTTCTTCGACTCTCTCTGCTGCTGGGTGCGTCGTCAGCGATCCTCTCTCCCTGCTCAAGGCGGAGGGAGAGAGGTTCAGCAGCATATGGGGTGAGGGTCGAGGGGCCGAGTTTGATGGTCAGGTCGTTGAGCCTCTTCCCCGACCCACGGCCAGCGAAATCCGTGCTATCTCTAAGTCCTACAAAGATTCTTCGGCCGTGGCTGTGGACGGATTTCACTGCAAGCATTTCTCTTTGTTGCCTGATGCTGCTCTCGATTGCCTCAGTGCCATTTTCTCGGTCATGGAAGCGCTAGGCCGCCTTCCTCCGCAGATCTCTGTCGTCACTCTGGCGCTTCTGCCGAAGCCTACTGGTGGATACAGGCCGATTGGGGTGTTCTGCTCCTGGTTCAGGGTTTGGGGCCGCTGTCGGCGGCCCTTTGCCTTGAACTGGGAGCAAGAACACCCCAAACGGTACTGGGCTGCTGGTAGGTTTCGCGGAGCTGCCGATGTGGTTTGGCGTCAAGCCGTCACCGCCGAGACGGGTCTTGCCATCGGGGAGTCCTCATGTTCTGTTCTCTTCGATCTGCGTAAGTTCTATGAGAACATCAGTCTGAAAGAGCTCGAGGCCCGTTGCAAGAAACATGGATTCCCTCTTGCGATTGCCCGTCTTTGCATTTATGCCTACAGATGTAGATGTGGGCGCTTTCTTTGTCTTGGAGGGTGGCTGGAAGGCCCCTACTTCTGCCTGAATGGGGTTATCGCTGGGTGCTCGATGGCCACCACGTTCATTCGTGTCTTTTGCCAGGACGGATGCGATTCTCTTCCTTCCATCCCCAGGCTCGACCTCGATGTGTATATCGACGACCAGGGTCTTTCGTGTACGGGCCAACATCGGACCGTGGTCAAATCGATCGTCGAAGGGGCCGAGGCGCTCCACGGCATTGTTGAGCCTTGTTTCGGTTGCTCCCTCGCCCTGGATAAGACCGCTGTTGTCGCTTCCTCGAAGGCCCTTGGGGATGAGGTTTCTGTAGAGATTTCGCATTTAGGAGGTAATTTTACGTCGAGTGCTGTCAACTTAGGCGTTGACTACACGGCTGGCCGCGCGCTTAGGGTGGCGGGGCGCTCGGCGAAGTCCAAAATGCGCATCGCCAAGGCTGTGGGGGCGGCCAAGAGATTAAAGCGCCAGATTAAAGTCATCTCCCGGCCGCAGGTTCTTAGGGCGTTCTCCTCGGGGCCCCTCGCGGGGGCTTCTTATGGCGCGGAAATTACTGGCACTAGCGACCTCGAGTTGCTTCGCCTTCGTCGTCAAGTTTTCTCGGTGGTCCGACCTCGATCTCAGTTGAGATCCCTGACGACGGCGGCCTTGCTCGATTATGATCCGTGCTGGCGCACTGCCACCGCCCCATCCTCCGTTGGTCCAAGGAGATCTGGCTGGCCCAGACTGGGGCCTACTCTTGGGGTTTGGGTTTTCCCTCGTTGCGTCGTGCGTGGGAAGCTGTGTTCTCCAACCCTGCCTGCTCCTGGAGAGCGGTCGCGGGCCCAGTGCCGGCCCTTCGGATGTCCCTGGTTAGGCTGGGCTGGTGCATGGACAACTTCATGACGGTGCGAGATGACCGTGGCTTCTCTATTCCCCTCGGCATCATCTCGCCTGCCTTATTCAGGATTTTGCTCAAGGACGGTTATTTTAGGATGTTGGAGCGTCTCTCCGCCGAAAAGAGGGGAGTGCTCCCCAGGATATGCTATGATGTGCTGCGCGAGGCCCTGGCCTCCAAGAAATACACGGCCCTCCAGAAGGCCCACATTAGAGCGTTCGCCACCGAAGCCTTTTTCACTGGAGATCGTGCTGTGAGCTTAGGCTACCTCGTGGACGGCAGTTGCCCGTTCTGCGGCGCCTCGGACACGATCTTCTACAGGTTGTGGGAGTGCCCCCACGAGCCAGTGGCTGAGCTTAGATCTTCTCTAGTTGAAGCTAGTACTGTAGCCGAAGCCTTAGCAGCTAAGGACGACGAGGAAGAAGCTGCGTTCGTTTTTATATCTGGGGCTTTCCGCCACCCCGCCGATGGGTGCCCCAGGCCCCTCACTGAGACGGACAATGGCCCGTTTCTTGTGTGGCACCACCATGACATCTCGTCGCCCTCTGGGGCTAAGCCTGGCATTGAAGTTTGGGGTAGCGTTTTCATCGACGGGTCTAGCAGCCGTTTCTCTGTTCGGGAGCTCTCCAGGGCTGGCTGCAGTGCGGTGATGGTCGGCGATCAAGGGTCGGCCGTCGCCGAGTTTCGGGCCCCAGTTTGGGCCCCATATCCTCAGACGCCTCAGTCGGCCGAGTTCAGCTGCTGGACTTGGGCCAATGTGCTCGCGTCGGCCTGCATAGATGTGTTCTCTGATTGCAGCAATGTGGTCAATCGTGCCTGTAGGCCCAAGGCCGAGCAGCTGTGTGGGAAGAGGGCCTACGCTGGGGCTTTCCTCCAACTATATGCCCAAGGCATCTCGCCGTCCACGTGCACAAAAGTCGCAGCTCACAAGGAGCTGGATGAGGCGGGGATCGACGCTGCTGAGCGCTGGAGGCGCCTCGGCAACCATCATGCGGACGCGGCAGCCAAGCACGCAGTGCATCTTCATCTCACGTGTCCAGACAAGCTAGTGGCTGCTGATAAGCTTGTCACGCAGGCACGCCAGACTATCAGGCTGGCGGCCCATGTTTTGCATGTGTGGCCTGCCTTGGACCTCTCCGAGGTAGGACGAACTCCTGCCCCGCATGCCGCTGCCGCTGCGACCGCAGGGCATCGCTGGGAAATGTGGTCTGGAGTGTGGCGCTGTGCTGTTTGCCTCAGAGGCAAGCGATCTCAGAGTAGGCCCTTGCCAGGTGTCTGTTCTCCAGTTTCTCGGCTTCACGCGTCCAGTCAGGACGCCCTCGAGCACCGTACGATTGCGTTCGACTGCTCTGATGGCTCGGTTTTGTTTATTTGCACTAGGTGCAAGGCGCATTCCAGTGGAGCCTCTGTCCGCGGGTTAGCCGCCAAGTGCCAGCCGCCTCCGTCGCGCGCAGCGAGGTACGGCTGGGAAGCCCTGTGCAAAGGCAAACACCCGCATTACAGGCAACAGAAAGCGGGTGTTACGGTTGATGTCGGCAATATTATGCAGTGCTTCAACACGTATGCCTAATTTTATTCACAGGCCTGCTGCACCGCCTCGTTGCAGCAGGTGTCAGATCCTTTTAAAGGACTCAGAGGAGGGCGTTGAGCCAAAAAAAAGAATCCCCCTCCCCCTCCTCCTCCTCCTCCTCCTCCTCCTCCTCCTCCTCCTCCTCCTCCTCCTCCTACTCCGCCTTCTCCTTCTCCTCCTCCTCATCATCATCATCCTCCTTCTCCTCCTGCTCCTCCCCCGGGTCAAGGCCTGCATGCTGATGGAAGAGTACAACACGTACACGTTCCTGGTTGACCGCCGTGCCAATAAGCCACAGGAGGGGAGCCGGAACATGCGGAGGGAAGAGGGGGCAGAACGCACCTTCGACTGATGGTTCCGAGAGGGTGAGGAGGGAAGGGAAGCTGAAGCGGAACGGGCGAGAAGCGAAGGAGGAAAGGAGAGAAGCAGAAGGACGGTTCGAGGCATGTCTGCATGGCCACCATGATTTGCTGGGGTCGCCAAGATAACCTCGATGAAGTTCTTGAGGGTCTCTTGGGAGGTCTCTTGATGCCTGCAAGGCCCTGGGGTTGGGCTTGGGTCGCCGAGGAAGACTGGTGAGACGGAGGAGGAGGAGGAGGAGCACTACTGGCAGGGGAAGGGCGTAAGGGGCACTCACCTCTAGCGCCAGCGTTCGCGTGACTGTCGCAGACCCTGACCCCCAGCCCGTGAGATCACAACCCGAGGCAGATTAGGCACAGATGCCACGGGGCAACTAATTATATGAAGCCTCATCGCAACGTCAGGCGTTGAGTTGGTACCACCCGCACCAGCCCGCCAAAACTGGGTGTTGTTGTGGCCAGGAGGATACATCGATCAAATTTAAGCGAAATAGGGAGATGCGAGCAAAGATGTCGAGTTGGCACGTTGTTGGCCTTTTCTGCCGCTGGGAAGGGACGCCTTGCGACGCGACTCCTCAAAGCGCGAATCGGACATAGTATGACGCGAGCGACCCCTGCACCGAGGTGGATCATGCCCCAGCACGTAAGCTCGATACATGTATCGCCTCTGCGAGGGATTGATATCATCGGTTGGAGTGCATGAGGTCGGACATACACGAGCACGGCAATACAATGCTCGTGTGGTGTGTATGCGTCGTGTTCACTCGTCATGTTCCATGTTGCCTGTTGTTGTTGCATGATGTATGCAGCTTCTCGGGCCGTTGATGCTCGTTGCATCCTTTCCCTGGCACAGATCAGAGCTGCAGTCGAGACTGTCTTCGGCGTGAAGGTGCCGGAGCTGTGCCTGCCAGTGTTTCTTTGCTTCGGGGGCGGTTATTGCGGCAGCCGCTGCGGTCTTGCGATCCGCTTTGCCGCGTAGCGAAGCGGGGATGTGCACATTGACGTTGTCGCTTCGAGCTGATCTGACTCTACAGCTTTGGAGGCACGCGCCTTCCAACATGCGGCACCCGAGAACGCCGTGCAGGTCCGCGGAGAGAAGCCGTGAGCAGACCCCAGCCAGAGAGCCCCAACCTGGCCAAACGCTTGTGGGGTGGGCGCCGTTCCAGATGTCACTCGGCGACGCCGTGGGTCGAACTTACTTGTGCCCCATGCAGGGCTCGTTTCGATTCCCCCGATTGGATTAGACTTCGATGGCTTCCGACTCCGATTCGATTCGATTTGGGATTCTGATTTGGGTTCCGATTTCCTATTGGAGGCTTACTAGCATGCCGATTTCCGCCGATTCGACTTTTCCCGACTCGGCTGCCGATTTCCGCCGATCCGATTCAAATCGATCGCCGATCCGATTTGACGATTCGATTTTGGTCTCTCTCCTGCCCATGCTCCCGAGGTGGGATGACGGGGCTCGGGGAGGGGGAGGAGGAGCAAGGCGGAGGAGGCGGCGGAGGCGAACGGAGGGGAGGAGAAACAGGAGGGCCAGTGTAAACCCAAGAGGGTCCAGAATTTATTCCCTGGGGCCTCCCGAGGGGTGCTGGCTGGGCTCCAGGCGCAACAACGGGAGTTAGCCACAACTCGGGACGGCCTGGGAGACCTGTTGTCTCGGGCTGCTCTGGGACAGTTCTGGAGCCGCGTGGGGGCACCGTGGGCATGGCTCGAATGAGATCGAATGAAGCTTCCACGGACCCTCTGGCGTCCGTGGAAGCTTCAGGAAGGGAAAAAACACACAGACACAATTAATTGACGATTCCCGACAAAATATGGGAAAATATGGGAAGTGGGGGGGGGGAAACGAAAACCCCAAAAAAATTTAAAAGTATGGGGAATCATTTTACTTGTGTGTATTTATTTGTGTGTCCTGGGGCCCCTTCAAAGTTGTCGGAGGGCGGTTATGTTTGCCAGCGTGACCCCAAAAAGTGGGTTATTGGAGCGTCGGCGAGCTGTATGTCTGGTGCAGTTGGCTTGTCCATTTTGAAGTCGAACGTCGACGGTGAAGATCGCGATGTGATGGTGATGAAGCTGATGGTGGTGATGACGGCGATGGTGTTGATGACGACGATGGTGTTAGTGGGGACGACAATTAAGACGTGGGCGCGAGCAGAAATTTGACGAGGGCGACGACATCGGCGATGACGATGACGGCGGTGTTGATGATGACGACGACGGTGGCGATGATGATGGTGATTACGATGATGATTCATCATGATCATGGTCAGTATCATGGTCATGGTGATGACGATTATGATGATGATGACTATGATGATTATCGTGATGGTGATGATGTCGGCGATGAAAATGGCAATGGCGACGTTGGCGACGAGGATAATGGTTGTGCAGATGAGGACGATGAGGAAGTGCGCGCTCGCAGACACTCTGGATGTCTGGCATATCTGCACCGAGAAGACGCATTGGTTTTCGTATATGTTTGAACACATGTGTGATGACATGTTTAAGCAACAAATGGTGTGGGATGGATGTCGACGTGAGCGCGCTGGCACGCGCCCGCGTGGCCTGCGTTGTATTAGTTGACGGGTTAGCGGGCGCCAGATGGTTATTGATTGTGATCGATTTGCGCGGGCGAGTGGCCAAAATCATCTAATTTGACAGGTTGGCTGAAACAGTCAAGGTTTTGTTTAGATTTCATCGCGTGCGCCCGTGCATAATTCTGGATGTTTTGTTGTTGGACAGTTGAGCCCAGTACATAATTCTGGATAAGCTTTTTTGGGGATAGTTATTGAAAACGCATGTTTTGAAATTGGTTTAGAAGAACCGTTGGTTTGAATGATGGTGACATGCGCACGGTGGCGGGGCGTGCATGTGCCACACATCGTATCATGTTTGGGGGGCAAGGGATCATTCGACAGGTCACTTCTTAGAGAAAAGATGTCGACAGGTGCGCGCGCGCGCTTGCGACCCGCACGTTATGATTTGGCAGGGCGTATTACAAAACCCATTTGATTGATCAACGCGTGTGCCCAACATCGCATGTTGCGTCGAGGGGCGATAGTGTCCAGCCTGGTTGGAAGCGCATGCTATCACTTGATAGTTGAAACGGACGGCCGGGCAGAGTACATGTAGAAAGTTGGTGTTTTAATTGGTCGTTCTTCGGCACGACACGGGGGTAGTTTCGTGTATCTTACAGAAGAGAGGATATATGCGGTGCCAGGTATTGGTTGCACGCTATATTGTGCAACCCATGTGGTGCAACACCTGTTGTCCATTCTATAGGTCGCAGTCCGTGTGGTGCAATCGATGAGGAAGAAGCATGAGGCTGGCGGCAGGGTGCATCTGCACCAGGGGCCTACGCGCAGCACAGCAGTGTGCTGCAAGAGAGACGGAGCCTGGGGGAGATGGAGAAACAGTGAGCTCCGTCCTACTTCCTTCGGCGAAAGTTTCCTCCATGCACCTGCCGACGAGTGTGCGTCGCACCCGCCTCCTTCCCGGCCCCCCAACACTCGAGACGGAGACGGGCAGGGACGAAGCCTCGCGGGGCAGGCGCGATGTGCGTTTCCTGGAGGCTCCTCTCGTCCATGCGCCGCGCTGGCTCCAGGCTGCAGAGACGGAACCAGGGAGAGATGGAGAGGCAGGGATCTATGTCCTGCGAAAGTGACCTCTTCCTCCTTCTCCTCCTCCTTCTCCTCCTCCTCCTCCTCCTCCTCCTCTTCCTCCTCCCCCCCGGGGAGATTGGAGACTGGCAGGGGCGAGGCCACCTGCAGACCCCCGGTGGCCACGCTCTCATACGCGACTGACCCCTGTCATCCTCATTGAGATAATCCATTTGCCCCATCGCCACCTCGGCTTTCGTGCTTCACGAGGGGAAACAAAAAACACGGACACAATCAATCGTCGGTTCCCCAAACAAATATTGGAAAAACATGGGGAATGGGGGGAAGACAAAAACTCCGAAAGTATGGGAAAATACAGGGAATGTGCTTATTTGTGTCTATTTGTTTGCGAGTCCCAGTTCCCCTTCAGTGTTATATCAACGCCTCTTGTCATCGTTTCTCCTCCCGCTCCGTTTCCCCCTTTCCCAGGTGAAGAAGTGCAACACCCTCATCCCCATGGCAAAGTGCCGAGGGGATTGCAAGACGTTGGGTCCCAGAGAGATGGATCGCAGACGCACTGCAGCTGGCATGTGTACTACTTGTCTCATGCATTGCCTTCCCCCGATATACGTGCCTCCGAGTGTCGCATTGCTCCTCAGGGCTGACTCATCCGTGTCGTCAGCGACTCGTCGTGATCAGAGTCACGGTCAGAATTGTTGTTTCCAGCGCCACGGTCGTCATCGTCATTACCGTCGTTGTCGGTATCGTCTTTTTCGTCGTCCTTGTCAACGTGGATTTCTATTAGTTCACACGCGGCATCCCTGGGGCTGCTTCGGTTTTGCAAGGACACCGAGAAGCTCCCCAAGAGGGTTCGACTTGGCGATAGAGGACTGCATGGAATTGCATGGGACTGTAAGCCAGTGGGATCGCGCGGGACCGTCCACGTTCGGCCCCAGTGGGTTTGCAGGAGCCTCCAGGGCATCCAGGCGCCAGCCGCATCTACGAGGCTCAAAGAGCCTCAAGATGTAACCCGAGAACCTCAAGGGGCCTTCCACCGTGTGTGGGGGCAGCGAGAGATGATTGTGTCAGGCTGCGCTGGACTACAACCATGTGGCGACGTTCTGCACAGCCTCCAAAGCTCCAGCAAACCTCCAAGATTCCAGGGAGAATCTGACACCGCGTCTGTTCATCTCCATTGAATGCCTGTGTAATGTTGCGTTGGTAGTAACCAAGCATGGGGTGGCGGGTAATTGGAAGCGAGAATTGTGGCCGAAGGAGGGCTGGGGGAAAGCTCCGAACGGGAGCGGCGCGAAGGGGGTTCGTGAGGGAGCATTTGGAAGCCATTGGAGGAGATCGCGAAGCGGCCTCCGGAGGTCTCCCGTCGGGCGGTGGCCACAACGCTTGAGGACGACAGTCTCGCATGTTCTTCTCGTGTGCCGGAATGTGAATTTGCTCTGAGGTCTTGTTTCCGCCAGCACCCAGGGGTTGCGTGGGCACGCCGGGCAGCATGGGGATCTCGCACAAGACCTCAGGGGAGCAACGTCCACTGAGGCAGAAATCAGAGCCCCGAATCATCAAGGGTAACTCGGGTCAGGGTTAACTCGGGTTAGTTTTTCGGGAATCCGAACCCGAGTTACCCAGGGCCCGAGTTACCCCGGATAATTCGGGCGTCCAGAGCCCCAAGTCATCAGGGGTAACTCGGGTCAGGGCTATCTCGGGTTCGTTGTTCGGGAATCCAAACCCGAGTTACGCCGGGCCCGAGTTACCCCGGATAATTCGGGCGCCCAGGAAAACATGTTCGGCCCGAGATATGGAGAAGATGTGCCCGCCACTCTTGACTTATGTCGCAGGAAGTCGATCGGGGCATTGGTGTCTCGCCCTGGACAAGATGTTTCAGCTTGACAGAAAGCTTGCTCTTTAAAGGCCACCAAGCTTAAATGCTCCCTGCGAGGTTCACCAGGGAGTTCGGCAGGAAGATCGGAAGGAAGTCTGTCTACAAGAAGGCGTACTGTGAGCTGGAGGTGCCTAGCCTTTTTTGTAGCGTCTGGGCCAGAGGGAGAGGTGGCGGGGCGCCGGTGCGGGTGCTCGGGTGTCCAAGGGACCAGAGAGCTGGCAGCCACTCGGGCACCCGCGCCTTGCCGCAGGGATGAGTAGGTGCTTCTCTCGGCCGAGGGATGGGCGGTGCTACCGCTTGTCGTCTCTCCTCGTCAGCGTCGAGTTGTGGCGTCAGCACGCCTGGATTCCTTTCTGATGGCGCGGGCCCCGCAGAGCGGCGTGCGCGCCATCATTCTGGATCCCATCTCTTCATGGCCTGCAGGTGGGAAACAACTAAATTACCGAAAATCGATCTGGCCGCGTTTCGTCGTTTCGTTTACTGGTGCGAGATGGCATGGCCGAAACGTGGTGGTTCGTCCAAGTGGTGGCCTTATGATAGTTTCTCTCCGCCCTGGCTGGGCTTGGCTCGTAAAAGCTTGTCAGGGAGGTTGGGGTTCCTGGAAGTGGGATGGAGCTTCAGAGTCAAGCGAGATAAGATATGTTGCATCTACCGACCCCGCCGCGCAAAGGCAATACACATGAGGCACATTATCGTTGAACTCCTGAACAAACCTCTCATCTCAATTTCCAATCATAGCACGCATGCATTACACGTGCACGTAATTACAGTACACATTGTGCACATGTCTACGGCGAGGCTAGGCTAGGGGTGGTCTCAGCAGACAAGCGTCTCAAACATCGCACGCCAGCAGTCGAACTACGAGGCCAACCAAGAAGCAAGCCAATGCGCCACAAACTCCAGCGAACAAATTAGTGCACAGGGGCAAAGCAGGTGAGTGGATTGGTGAAGAGCACGCCAATGTCATTCGGGGGCAAATTAGGAAGTGCACATGTTGCAGTTTAGGGGACTCCGAGTGTTGCACAGCCAGAAGAAACGTAGACCGACGCACTGAACACGAAACAATACATTAATTGGTAAGCAAGCTAGATGCGAATAGGGTGCCGATCAGGAAGGCCACTCGACAGAATCACACGGAGTGCAGACGCTTCCCGTGGAATTCATGATAGGTAGACACAGCATGGAAGTAAGTAAGCACCCCGCATTGCCACGCCAAGAACCGAGCATATGTTTCCGGTCCGAAGCGCACACAGCATGCACGATAACAAGAGCGCCCTCGAGGGCGCGAAGTTATTCACGCTTCGCACTTCGCGGTTCGGCTCCGATTTCTCGCCATCCTCCTCTTCTCCCCTGGGGGGGCTGCGCGAGAGCGCGAAGTTATTCGCGCTTCGCGCAGCGCGAAGCGCAAAGTTAGGCGCCCTTGGCATGCACGAGAAGGTGTGACAAGCCAGCCACTCGGCGACGCGCTGCGAGCGACATGGAGCAGGGTGGGAGGCGGCGCTGTGGGCAGCGTCGTTACCCGGCCGCCCGGCAGTTGATCGCAGAGGCAGTACACGAGGTCAGGGTTATGATGCTCCAACCTACTTTAGCGTTTCGAGCGCCAAAAAAAGTACCGAAACTCGAGGGTGTTCACGTGTCGGGCCCTGGGTGACACTCGCCAGACACTGTTTCGACACTCCTTCGACACTATTTTGACACTTTTCCGGGTGCTCGAAATGATTTCTGGGATGTGGTCTTTATGGGAAAAACATAAGGTCAGGAGCAAGCAAATCAAAACATGCGCGGACCACCGATTGGGCATTTCCGGATGTTCATTAGTCGGTCGGCCCAGTGGTTGTAGCACCTAAGGCAAGCGGTTGGCATTCCCTCTCAGTGTGCGCCGCCTGCGGATGCATGGGACCCCAGTGCCAAGGGTTGGGAGCGATGGCGATGTCACGTGAGAGGCCTTCAGTCAGCTGTAGCGAATTCGCGAGTCCTTGCTTGCCTTCGTGATTGCTTGGCTGCTTACTTGCGCACCTCCTCCAAGCCTGCTTGCACATTCGCCCCTGTAAGCTCCGCCATTACTTTCAGCAATGCGTTCCCACGTTGGTTCGGCGTTCGGTCTGGATCGAAGCACATGCATGCCAACTTGGTTGGAGAACCTGCCGATGCGGAAAGTTTCCAGCAGTCAGGACAGTGCGAATCGTAGCGACAAGTTGGAATTTGGAAGCGGCGAGCGTCGATATTGCACGAACAGATGCTACAAGTCATGTCCTATCAGTTCCTCACTGGCCCTCATGAACACAGATTGCAGAACATTCGAGATGCAGTGTTCACGTGCAACCTCGAACACTCGGTGAGCACGTATGTGAGATGAGTATGTTGGAAGGCTTCTCAGATGGAGGCAGCACAATCGCCCTCGGGCAGACAGCTCCCAGAAATCTACCAGCACGCCATGCCGCCCACATCTAATTCTTGTCTGCCCTGCAGATGCAATGGGTATACAATTAATTCCCATGCAGGTGTAAGTTCGAAAGGATATGATGACCCTTCCTTTGAGACATCCAGTCCCCACCTAGATTAGGATGTGTATTGGCTGCACGGCCTTGCAACTTGTGTACGTCGTACACAAGTTGATGTGTTGTATGTGTCGGCATGACGACAGCAGCCCAGTCCAGTTTTGAGCTCAATCACGGCTGATCGGGAATCGAGAGACCATCGATTGGATGCATCGTGGCGCGACGTTTTACGAACCAGGTATCGAAAAGTATTGATTCAGATTGACCCCACGTAAGTCCCGCGAGCATCCATTGAGTACGCCGACCGTGCCCCCAACCCGATCTGTTCCCAGCCTCCATCACCGATTCACGCAGATAGCCATGGTGCATCAAATGTCCACCAGCAGTGCAGAGCGAGTGATCAAGTTGATTGTGGTTTATTCGCAAAGGCAGTTGTAATTGAGGATGTCAGTCATGATGTATAGTTGTCATTCGCACTGCTTCGAAGTCCATGAGAGCGCCTTGTCAAAGGAATAAGGAGGGACATAATCGCAGCAGTAATCATTTTCGTGAGATAACCTTGGGCAGTGACGTGCCTCAGGAGGGCTACTCCATTGACCTCTTCCCAGATGACCCTGAGACGGCCTGAGCGACGCGTGTGGGTTCCCGTAGGCTATTTCAGTCATCCTCTGAGCCTTCGTTGCCAGTGGTTCATCCTCTCGTGTCTGGTGATTTACTAACCCGTCTTGGTGCCGTGGCAGTACCGTGTTGAAGTGGGCGCGTTGCCCTACACTGTCCGGCTTCAACAGTTATTGCATTGGTAATGCAAGTGGCACGTTTGTCAGACCCGTTGCAAGCACTGTCGGGAAGCCGATTATTTTCCCCAAGTCAAAAGTGTATCAGCATTAATGCGCCATTGCGTTACGCACACTGGGGACGTACAACGAAGCCTCATACCGAACACATGATTGCAATGTGTGTGTTTCGCGTAGTTTTGTGGCCACAAGAGGCCCGCCAGATGTAGATGCAGCGACACGTCTAGAAGGTATGGGCACTTAGTGGGCCCCGGAAACGGCAGGGCCGTTTTTTCACCGTTTCCGAAAAAGTGTCCCTTGAAAATGGAAACGGCAAAAAAACGGCGACCGGAAACGGCAACAAAAACGGCTCCAGGATTGGAACCGGAGAGGGAACCCGCAAAAGAACGCGACGGAAGCGGTGAAAAAACGGCGTCGGAACCGGCAACAAAAACGGCAGAACGGAGCCGTAAAAAAACATGGAGCTGTCGTTTCCAGGGCCCACTAAGAGTGGGCACGCATGACTCGAGTGCAGTCTCCCCCCATTCGTCCCTCGCGCTGGAGGCTTCCTTACCAGCCTGGAACATATCCCTATCCCTATGCTGGGCACCTCCTCGTCACGATGCCAATCTCAGGGACTCCCCTGTTTTTTGAGGGCGACTCCCTAAGATTGTCATCGCCTTTTGGCGTGTCAATTTTAGGGATGGGGATACGTTCGAGGCTGGTGAGCTTCCTCGGGGATCTCACGGAACAGCTCCTCTTCCTCCTCTCTCCCCTTCCTCATCTTTCCCCCTCTCCTCCTCCTCACTCTTCCCTCCCTCCCTCCCTCCCTCCCTCCCTCCCTCCTTCCCCCCCTCCCTCCCTCCCTCCCTCCCTCCCTCCCTCCCTCCCCCTCCCTCCTCCTCCTCCTCCTCCTCCTCCTCCTCCTCCTCCTCCTCCTCCTCCTCCTCCTCCTCCTCCTCCTCCTCTCCTCGTCCCTCGCGCTGGAGGCTTCCTCGGAGCTCACCTGCGCCTTCGCGCGGCATCCTGCCGCCCCTCCGGGGCCCTCCCCAGGGGGGCCCCGCTCGAGGCCCGCCCAGTTGGGGGCCCGCGCGGGGTCGGCTCGGGGCAGTCTCGGGCGCCCAATGGTTCCACCCACAAGGGCGCCCTCGCGGGCGCGAAGTTTCTCGCGCTTCGCAGTTCGGCTCCGCTTCCTCCTCATCCTCCCCTTCTCCCCTGGGAGGCGGCGCGAGAGCGCGAAGAGATTTTGCACTTCGCGCTTGGCGCAGCACGAAGCGCGAAGCGCGAAGTTGGGAGCGCTTGCACTCAGCTGAAGGGTGGGCGGAACCACCTTCGGGGCGGTTGGGCGTGTCTCGAGGTAGTCTCGGAAGCACCCTCTGGGCCGTCATTCGGTCTTGGGGGGTTCTCCGGCAGCCTTGGGGCAGTTTGGGGGCCGTGCTGCTCTGTCCCGTGACTCGGTAGAGCTTCCCCTAGGTGGTCTGCAGTCGAGCATCTTCGGAGGCGAGGCATGTTGATGCCATTTGGATGTGGCGTCGCTTGGCACCGTCTTGTGACCTATTGGCTTTGTTGGACCTCCAGGGGTATATGGGAGCAGTCGTGGAGCCTCTGGGGGGGTCGATTCCAGAAAGCCTAGCAGGCAGCTCAGCAGTCTACGACTCCAGGTCTCGCAGTCATGGTGTCGATGCACCAAGGAGCACAAGAGGAGAAAGAAGATCAGGAGCATAATGATTAGATGAAGCAGCATCAAAGGCCTGATGGGTGCGTGCTTTGATCGGGGGCCGCGAGGCGCATGTCTTCGACTGAAGTCGTTCCGGCAAGTCTTCTAGGCCCCGCGCGTCTCCACCACCCC